GCTGCTACTATTGGCTGGATCCAGAAATGGGTGTGGCAACTTGAATTCATTTGTGCATATATAAGAACGTAATTTCGTTATTTTGTTTTTTTTGTTTTGGACATCAAGCAGGCATCAGAAGACAATGCTTATAACCAGTACTTATTTAAGGGTGATTTCAATGAACCCAATAATAATGTCTCCCAAAAAAAAATATATGCATTGTCTCAACTAAACTCATCTTAATTTGTATTGATTGGATTGACCATTTCAGAATAAAAAATAAAAAAGTTCAAATATTCAAATAGTTAAAATTGTCTAAGATGCAAAAAATCTTAGACAAGATGTAAATGAGCAGTTTTGCTACAATCTGGCACATTTACAATTTGTGTACAACTTGTATATGATTGTTCATTAATGTGTGTTGTCCCGATCAAATAAATAAATAAATAATTAAATAAATAAATGTTTATTCGTGAAATGTGTTTTGGACCAATAGATGGGTTGTCATTGCTTTAGTGTGGCCAGTAAGCTGTGGAAATAATGTGCATCTAATATGTCGTTTTGAGCCCTGAACTTGCTGGTGTGCAATCAGAATCAACAGTAACTGAATTTAAGTTGGAAAATGTGAATTCTTAATCAGCAATATTGGTAAGAATTTGCAATATTTTCAAAGTGAAGTGTGTGCTTTCCACAGTGATATAGTCTGTACAGTGAGAGAGTGAAGGAGGAGTCTGAAATCAAACGGTTTTATAGGACAGCTCGGTTAAAACTAAGGTAGTCAAAATGCTTTTATCTCTTAACATGAAACTGGAAGTCTGATTAACCAGTGTGTGAGTTTGTTTACACTGCAAACTGAAGTTTACAGGATTAAGATCAAGTGGCGTCATCAGTAATAAAGCTGATGTACTCAGATGGTGTCAGTGGAAAAGGGTGTGTCCAAGAATAGTAGTAGATAGTAGCAGTAGTAGTAGTAGCAGTACTAATAGAAGTAGTAGTGGTTTTAAAAGATACAAGAATTCATTTGTCATTTGCAGTATCAGTAGTATCAGTATTAGCAGCAGCAGTATTAGTAATAACAGTAGTAGTTTGTACAAATATAAACTGAATTATTGAAGAGAAAATTGCACGTTTTACATTTTTCTATAATAATAAATACTTAGGGTTACTGTTAGAACTAGTGTTTGTGAGTCTGTATTGTCAAGTTAAATAGACTCATATGCTGGTTTTCTCTGCCTGAGCAAACAGTGAGAACAGGATGAGCCCTCGCACATCAACGCTCGAGGCAGGGGCTCAGGATAAAGAGGACAAACCAGTAATGATAATAATTTGGAAGCGTTATTATACATTTGAGGTAAGTTATTGTGCTACTTTATCTAATATCACATAAAAAAAATAAAAAAATAAACATTATTAAAACAAAAGAATATTCTGGAAATGATCTTGTTACCCCTACTTTGGGAACCACAGGCCTAGAAAGTGTAAAAGGTTAATACAATCACTACAATCAGTTAGAGTGGGTGGGGCTTAAAACTACTCCAGCTCTGTTCGGATGGACCAATCCTGAGAAATGGTTAAAAAAATTAAAATCCTTTCTGTTGCTGATTTAAATTCTGTGCAAAGCTGCTACATGTATATTAAGCGCCATAAGTGTAAAACATGTTTGACTGATTCACAACGTACAACACACTTATGTTTGTGTAGGCAAGGCAAGGCAAGGCAAGTTTATTTGTATAGCACAATTCATACACAAGGCAACTCAAAGTGCTGAACAAGATAGCATTAAAATCATAAATAATCACAGAACATTAAAACGAAAGACAGTAGCTCAGTTGGTAGAACATTGGCCTTAAGGCCAGAAGGTTGTGGGTTCAATTCCCACCTCTGCACCTTCTCCACCGACTCCCACTGATGACTGCTGTCGTTGTGTCCTTGGGCAAGACACTTAACCCCACTTTGCCCAAAGCTCACACTCAGAGAGCAGCCGTCCTCCTGTGGACTCACCACATGCAGAGGGTCAGTGAGGGGCTGGTGCTATGAGACTTGGGTGGCATCTCTGATTGCCACCCCCCTGACCCAGAAATGGATTAAAGGGTAGAAAATGGATGGATGGATGGCATTAAAACGAAAGATAAAAATATAAAATCCCTCAGTTGTATGCACAGCTAAACAGCACCGTTTTTATCTTGGTTTTAAACATTGTCAGAGAGGAGGCCTGTCTCACATCTTCAGGAACTTTAGGAGGGACCCAACCCCGCCTCTTCCTGTCATGCTGGGCGGCACTCAGGTGGAATCTGTACAGTCCTGCAAGTTCCTGGGGATAATTATCTCCAGAGACCTCAAGTGGGAATCCAACATCACAGCCCTCCTGAGGAAAGCCCAGCAGAGGATGTACTTCCTTCGTCAGCTGCGGAAATACAGACTGTCGAGGGCCATGATGACCCAGTTTTACTCGGCCATCATAGAGTCTATCCTCACTCACTCCATCATCACCTGGTTCCCCGCTGCAGCTGCGAAAGACCTGGTCAAGCTGCAGCGGGTGATACGCTCTGCGGAGAGGGTGATTGGCCATCCCCTGCCCTCCCTTAAGTCCCTGCACGACTCCAGGGCACTGAGGAGGGCGAGAAAGATCATGGCTGACCCCTCCCACCCTGGTCACAGCCTCCTCACCCTGCTCCCCTCTGGGAGGAGGATGCAGCACCTGGGGGCTAAGAGCGCTACAAAAACAGTTTTTTCCCCTCAGTGGCCAGGCTGCTCACTGACGCTGGTTTCCCTTCTTCCCTTGCCCCCTAGGAACAAGGACTGAACACTATGGCACTTATTACACTATTCTATTTATATCTCTTGCACTTTTTGTTAAATTATATGTGAAAAAAAAAAAAGATGAATGCACACTGTCATGTTGCCAAGTCAAATTCCTATGTGTTTTGCACAATGGTAAATAAAGTAATCTGAATCTGAATCTGAATCTGAAGATGATTCCAGATTTTAGCAGCATGAATCTGAAAAGCAGCCTGTGCTCCTCAGAGTCCCAGCAGGAGTCCAGTCCCTGTGCTCCTCAGAGTCCCAGCAGGAGTCCAGTCCCTGTGCTCCTCAGAGTCCGGGCTGGTTCATATGGGACTAACATGTCACTAATATATTTTGGTGCGAGGCCATGGAGAGACTTGTAACAAGTAGAGCTGTTTTAAAGTCTATTCTCTGAGCCACAGGAAGCCAGTGCAGAGACCTGAGGACCGGACTAATATGGTCGTACTTCCTGGTTCTAGTCAGGACTCGAGCTGCTGCATTTTGAATGTACTGCAGCTGTTTTACAGCCTGTTTGGACAGACCTGTGAGCAGGCCATTGCAGTAGTCTAACCTACTGGTGACAAATACATGGATAAGAATCTCCAAGTCTGCTTTAGACACTATGTTTTTGATCCTGGCAATGTTTTTTAGATGGTAAAAAGCTGCTGATGTTACTGATTTGATGTGGCTATTAAAATCTAAGTCTGAGTCCAGTATAAGAGTTTAAAAACAGTAGGTCTTGGTAAAACAGTAGCTGAAGTTTATCTGTGTGTGTTGGAGCGCAGCTGCAGCAGGACGCCTTGTTCCGCCTGTTAACAAATTATCTGCACTTTTTATGGCAATTGATAACACTTTCACGAGCTCCCTCCCCATTGGTTCAGCCATACTGCTCCGCAAATCTGATTGGCGGAGATTATTCCAAAGGGAGGCTGTCAAGCAAATACAGTATATTCAATGAATTACTCACTTTGCTCACTATTGCAGTGAAGGACAAGGTGGTTAAAAAGATAATGTGTTTTGTTTTGATGTTTCAATAAATAATATGCCAACTATTGTAAGAAAGTAAATAATGGATCAGTGCCTCCGACAGTCACTCATTACATTTATACCTATTGTTACATATTTTTAGTGGTAGGGGAAACTGGAGACACAGGGAGAACATGCAAACTCTGCACAGAAAGGCTTTGTCTGGAGCATAGACTGTATATATTAATGGACAGAGTCACGCCTATCTCCGCCGTTCTAACTAATGGGCCAAAAAATGTGCTCTACTGAAGCAATCCAAAATGGCCGCGAGTGGTCCCGCCCACAAGAAAATTGTGAAAAAACGCATCTGTGCATGCGTCAGCCGGCGAGAGCTCCATTCATTTGAACGAGAGACTTCAAAAATTCACAGCGAGTAAACTAGAGTGGACCAAAAAAATCCACCCCCCTCAGCATTGACACACATGTGGAACGGAGCTTTGGACCAAGAGACAACTTTTGGACCATCCTGTAAAGACGTTTTAGAGAGGTCTGCCAACGTTATATGTTATCATTGGCTAATTCTTATTCCGGGTCCACCCCCATCGGCCCGGGGTGGTATTGCAGCATGTCAGCGCAATACCACCACGTCATTTAGGCCACTTTTGAGCTGGGAGCCGCCCCCACTGGTCTGGAGATGGAATTGAACCCAGGACCTTCTTGCTAAGAAGAACAATGGGTAATCACTGCGCCACCGTGTTGCACCATTCTCATTTTTCATCATTTCAAAATCCATGATATCGAGAATCGAGCAGATATGTGTCAATACCATAGACTGTAAATATTAACGGACGTAGTCACGCCTTTCTCCGCCGTTCTAACTAATGTGCCACAACTTCCGTGGTCTATGGGCTGGAAAATGTGAAAAAATGCATCTGCGCATGCGTCAGCTGCACGAGCCCCATTCATTTGAACGAGTAAACTAGACTGGTCCAAAAAACTTCACTCCCCTCAGCAGTGACACATGTGGGACGGAGCTTTGGGCCAAGAGCCGACTTTTGGACCATTCTGTAAAGACGTTTCGAGAGGTAAGAAGATGCAATATGTTACTGCAGCATTGGCTAATTCTTATTCTGGGTCCACCCCCATCGGCAAGCATGTCAGCGCACATCATTTTGGCCACTTTCGAGCCGGGACCCGCCCCCATTGGTCAATACATGACAGGAAATATAAAAATAGGATGAAAACAATGGTGTAATAATAAAGAATATTTAAGGAGAGTTTTGGTGGGGAGACTCTTGCTCATCAACATGAAGCCTGTCACTGATGAGTTCTGTGGAGAGGCGACCCTGAACAAGGTTTTCATAATATTTCTTCAGCAATACAAACAGTTTTGAGAGACGACAATTGATATGAAAATTGTCACTCTTGGATTTGCTTGTGTGGAGTAATGGATTATCAGAGTATTTAAAAATATATACATTTGATTTGTATATAATCGCCATCAAAATCAATCAAGTCTATTTAAAGTGCAGTAGTTGTTTGTTCAAGTGAAAAATACTAATTATAACCATTGCTTTCTGTTCCAATGCGGTTTATTTGTATTTGTCATTTCTGAAAGTTACTTCTGCCAAACAAAAACATGTCTGTGCTTCAATCCCAGTGGGCGGCTTTGACCCTCTACATTATTGACCCCTGATGAAAGACTTGTTTGTTGTCAGTAGATGTCTGGGAGAATTTATTTAAAGTATCTATCTGTACTTCTCTATCTCTCTTCCAACAGTTTTATAACTTTCACAATCTCTAACCACTTGTTTCTAATGTAGTTCTCGTCCGTATGAACCCTCAGTCCATAACATTATAGGATTACTGCTGTGAACACACCGCCGCCTCCATATGTCTGTCCCACATTTATAATTCCTCTCATCACGTCTAATAAACCAGAGCTGCCCACTCACCCGCGCTCCGCCATCACTTCGCGGGGGTCCAGGAGGTTCCAGTGGCCCCCAACACACTCCCTGCTGCCTGCCCAGACATCGGCTCTCCCAGCCCTGGACCCCTGCTCCACATTTGAGGAGAGAGATGCTGTCAGCTTCCGCTTTCCTCCCGCAAAGCATCATGGGAGGAGATTTGTCTGCATGAGAGACAGGGGGGAATGGGAAGGGAGGGGGGAGTGCTGGTGGTTACTATAGCAACGTGGCTTCTGTAGTGGGGTTTTCTATTGGGTCTTATTTTAGTGTTATAATAAAGAATTGCATGAGTTTCAATAGCAAAATCAATTGCTACAATATTTCTCAAGTGCTTACAATATTTTCAAAATAAAGTTTGGTATTTTTTTGTTTTGTTGTTAGTATTTTGTTTTATTTTATTTCAATTGCTTTTATTTTCCACTTTGCCTGAAGCCCCCTGAGGGACCAAGGCCGTGTCATCGTTGACGGAGCAGCCATCTTCCCGTGGACCTACCACCTGGGTCAGCACTAGATCATATACGGAATCAGTACGAAAGCGGAAGTGAAAATAACAAAATACCTATTCATGCCTAAACTTAACCAGCCATCCATCCATTTTCTTCCGCTTCATCCGTTGCCGGGTCGCGGGGGCAGCAGTCTAAGCAGAGACGCCCAGACTTCCCTATCCACACACACCTCCTCCAGCTCGTCCGGGGGGACTCCAAGGCGTTCCCAGGCCAGCTGAGAGACATAGTCCCTCCAGCGTGTCCTGGGTCTTCCCCGGGGCCTCCTCCCGGTGGGACGTGCCCGGAACACCTCCCCAGGGAGGCGTCCAGGAGGCATCCAGAACAGATGCCCGAGCCACCTCAACTGGTTCCTCTCGACGTGGAGTAGCAGCGGCTCTACTCCGAGCTCCTCCCGTGTGACTGAGCTCCTCACCCTATCTCTAAGGGAGCGCCCAGCCACTCTGCGGAGGAAGCTCATTTCGACCGCTTGTATCCGCGATCTTGTTCTTTCGGTCACTACCCAAAGCTCATGACCATAGGTGAGGGAGAGAACGAAGATTGACCGGTAAATCGAGAGCTTTGCCTTTCGGCTCAGCTCCCTCTTTACCACGACGGTCCGATTCAGCGACCGCATCACTGCGCACGCTGCACCGATCCGCCTGTCAATCTCACGCTCCATCCTTCCCTCACTCGTGAACAAGACCCCGAGATACTTGAACTCCTCCACTTGAGGAAGGGCCTCTCCACCCACCTGAAGAGGGCAAGGCACCTTTTTCCGGTCGAGCACCATGGCCTCAGATTTGGAGGTGCTGATTCTCATCCCAGCCGCTTCACACTCGGCTGCAAACCGTCCCAGTGCATGTTGTAGGTCCTGGTTCGTTGGAGCCAACAGGACAACATCGTCTGCAAACAGCAGAGATGAAATCCTGTGGTCCCCGAACCGGACCCCCTCCGACCCTTGGCTGCGCCTAGAAATTCTGTCCATGAATACAGTGAACAGAACCAACTTAACCAGCCATTCCCATAAAATAACCCCAACCCACCCTTAACCCTAACCTTAACCATCTTACTCAGACGCCTAAAACTTAACCAGTCACCACTTAAGGACGAATTAGTCTAAAATTAATTTGAAAGTAGGATTGTTACTTACGGTTTCGTCCCGATTCCGTCTATGATCTAGTGCCGACCCTACCACCTGTAGTAGGATCAGCGAGGGGCTTGTGCTTTGAGATTTGGGTGGCAGCTCATGGACACCCCCGACCCAGAAATGGACTAAACCAGGGGATGAAAATGAATGAAGGATTAAATGCTTTTATGTCATTTTTTTTTATATGCAAACAGCTGTGTGTTTAAATGTCTTACCTTTGTCTCTGTGCACTTGTAAAATGTGCTACATAAATAAAGTGGATTGGATTGTTTTATTTGTTTGAAGTACTTGAAAGACTGTCATTGTCCAGGTTTTTATGTTTTATCAATTAATTATTTTTTTGGCATTGACATTAGCAGATTCATAAAGAATTCACTTTAGAGAGAATACAATTACATAATAAGTCGCCTTTAGAGCAGAAACCCTTTCACTGTCTGAAACAAACATGTAGAATCATTAGTCTCTGTTTTCTTTAGTTTCACATCGTTCAAAGTCGTTATGAAAAAGATCTAATCATTTTCAGCAATACAATAGTTATCAACGTTTTTGTTACGGAATAATTTGATTAACTCAATTCAACATTTCTGGTTTTTTACTGGACAAGTATTGTGGATTTCTCCTTTAAAGACAAATACAACTGTTAGAAGTTAGAAGTGAATTGAAAAGCACAGGGATGGAATGATATATTCCATAATTTTATTTGCAGGGTTTCAGACAGCACCAGAGCAAACAGAAGCTGACAGTGAAATTGAATTAAAAACGTTTTCTTTGTTTTAATTACAGTCATACTTTTTCTAAACCATATGTTTAATATTCATTTAAGGATGTTTTGTACAAGTAAAAAAGTAAACAAATGACTTGACTGATAAATGGTAATAATAAAGCAATAGTCCTCGATTGCGTCCTGCATTGTTATAGCCAAGAAAAGGGTCTGTCTGGTACACTTTCCATTTTCTTGGAATGATCTGTAATCAATTGGCAAACAACTGTTTTCATGGTTTGGTTTTAATGTGTGAATAGAAAAAATCATATATCTGGAAAAACAAATGATCCCAGAGCCACAAAAGTAACTGTATTATTATCAATACCATTATTATGTCCAGTGTTGAAGAGGGTTTTGTCTGGTAACCCACTTAAAGTTTTATATCTCTGTTTGAGTCTTGAAATCACACTCCTAATTGTCAATCATTCTGGTGATACGTGATCGTCAAATAAGACCAGAGAGTTTTGTTCAAAAATATACCGTGTGAGTATTTAGAGTGAAGACTTTGCTAACTTTGCTTAGTGAGAATTCTTCTGCCCACCAACATTTCAGATGTACATTTTGGACAACAGTCAGAGGCTCTATCTACTCATTAACGTCTCGGGTTGATAGCAAACTGCAGCTTGTCTATGGAATGTAAATGTGTAGTAAAGATTAGAGGAACAATGGAACAACAACCATCTTGTGTTTACCTTCAAGCATGGACCACTTTTGCTGCCTCCCGCTTGACCCAGTGCCATTGTGTCCTTCAGCAGAACACTTCATGTCCCAGTGAGGAATGGGGAACCTCCATCATCTGTGCTGTACCCCTATACAGGGATCTGAAGGGCAGAGTAAACAGGGACCTTAAAATCACCTTGTTCAGAAATTGCTGATCACAACATCTCCGTCAACCAAAATAATTATGAAATGTTTGGCTTAAGGTCAGTGCGTGGTTAATTAACTTTAATCAGTGACTAAATATAAAATGTCAAACAGATGCTGAGTCAATACAAGTCAAATTATGTACACTCAGGTTTATCTGCTTGTGCGCAGGTTTTGTGTTTGCACAGCAGTGGGGAAAAAGACACTTTTAAAAGCGTTTTAAAACATTATACACAAACCACCTGTGGACAAAATACAAAAAAGCCTCTGCCCATAAACTCAACGTGGCATACAACAACTGCTTGAGAATTATATTGAGACATCCAAGGTGAGAAAGTACAAGTACTCTGTTTGTGTCTGCAGGAATAAGGACATTTCAGGCTGATGTACATTATATCTGTCGGCTCAATGAAACTGAGAACATTATAATCATAAACCTGACAAGCGTCAAATTCAGAGCCACACAGTACCAGTCTGAACTGTGGAGATCGGTACAGCTGTTTGGTCTCAGGAGTGAGTGATATTCTGATAATATGTATAAAACAATAACGTTAATAACATACGGTCTTTGGTTCAGGAACTCTTCACACGCAGTGGGTGTTGACTCCATCTTGTGGCCACGGCTGGTACTGCAGTCTGTTGGGCTAATCTGTTGGTCTCATTATAAACTAGTGTAGACCCCTATCCAATAATAGTCATTTTCTCACCTCAAACTATATTCAATCAAGAAAGTCACACGTTTGTTCGGTTGAATCAGTTTGAGAGAAATGCTCAAAAGAAGCATCTGGAAGCAAAATATGTAGTCAAGTGGTTTTTTATTTTTTATTAATTGTCCACGCGTGTAAAATTGTTGTTACTTTTTGCAATCTTTCTCTGGCCCAGAACAGAAAAGCAGACGTGTGACTTTGTCTGTGAAGGCTTCTTACCCCAGATGAGTGGACACCGGACACTGACCATGTTCCCAGTCCACCACACATGCGGATTGTGGTCAGATTTCCAGTCCGCGCTGCTAATCTACTGCTGGTCACAGGTAAACATATTATATATTATACCTCTCTATCCTGGCTGGAGAATAATTAATAATGAACACTACTTGATGCCCGAGAAAATCAAGGAAAGGCTCTATCTGTTATAATTATGGTTCTAAACAAATTATGGTAAAGTTTAACATGTAGCGCCCTCTGGTGGCTCAACACTGCAACAACAGCTTGTGATTTCAGAAGTGACTGTGGCTTCTGGCCAGGGATGTTAACAGGTTATTATTATAGATCCATGACAGGTTGGCCTGCTGTCCAAAGGCTACATGAAAAAGCACTAGCGCTGCAAGCTGTTGTTATTCTGTGGAAAATACTAACATCTGCATCTCGTATTGATGAATTGAATTGATAATAGAAAATATATGACATGAACATCTATGCCAAGAATGAATCAAACACAAAACATTTTTTGGGCTTTAGGCTTTGCTGAACATATGCATTTTCTTTGTTAAATCTATTGCAACTGTGTGTGAATAAATCATTTTCAGTTCAAATAATTTTATTTACCATCTCTGTCACAAACTCACATATAACATGTCAGATTGTTTTATGTTTTCAACAGAACATGACACTATACATTTGAATGGTTCAATTTAATCTACCAATATTAATTTGAACAAAGTCAAGTGAATTTCCACATAGTCAATAAATAATGACAGAATAGCACTTTAACAATCTCCTCAGGAGTAAAGTGCATTAAAACAGCCCCTGGGTGCTGCAGTGAAAAGCTTTTGAGAGCTGCACATGAGATGAGGCAGACAATAATAAACAGAACAGAATTTTTCTCTTCTTTTTCTGGTCGGACATTTGATTTAAAAATATTAGAGTTGGAATGCAAACATTCAAACAAATTCTCAGAAAAACATAATAACTGAAGAATTATTATTTTAGAAAAGTTCACGGGTGCCATAATTATATAAATACAAACTAAATTCAGACACCGATAGAATCAAGGGTGAGTCAGAATGACAAGCTTAAAGACATTATGTGAGTCTGTCTGCTGTAGTTTTGACACCTCTCCATTTTATTTATTTTGTATTTTGATGCCCTACGTACATAAAAACAGAAATGGCACTGCTGAGCTGACCAGGCATCGTTTTTGTCTGAGTTTTGGCATAAGAGCAGAGACAGACTTCCCAGTCCCCGCTGGCTGCTTTTACGTGGAGGACCAGCAGCTCTACCTTGAGCTCTTCACCTTACCGCTAAACGCAGTGTATATGACAAGGTTAAATGATTACAACATGGGTAAAGTATTTTTCACAGGGAGGTAAGAAACAAATGTGATAATGTTTTTATTATTATTTATGAAAAGTTCCTCAGCATTGATATTCATAACTAAATCAGAGTTCAATTTAAGTTTTAACAGATTGGGGCAAAATACATGTGGAAATTACTTAAATTACTCCTGGAACACAGTTGAATTGTTTGGTGAGTATATTTGCCCTAATCCTTCACCTGGGACTAAAGTGTCAATGTGTGTTTAATCCTAGCAGGTTTTCTTTGACATAGAAATTATTCACTTTTCTTTGTGAACCACTGGTGTCAAAAACTTAAATTCTGAGAAACCACAAAACAAATAAATCAGTGAAGGATGGATGTTTCTCCCGTGGCATCTCTGTGACCCCTCCCTTTTCAGAAAACTTCGCTCGTGAGTTCTGGTCTCCGATTGGCCAGTTGTTTCCCACCGAAGAGGTGATTGACTGCGATGCCTGGGTCCTGATTGGGCAGAAGCAGAGGTAGTCCTCCAATCGCACGTGTTCACCTGGAGGAAACGGAACCTGCCAATCTTCCTCGGCTCGGGGCAGCTGGACTCAGTGGACTCCAGTTCGCCAATTAGTTTGTCTCTGTGTCATTTGTTTAAAGACTTGTGTAGTTTTTGTTCTGTCATTTGCTTACTAGTTTTATTGGTTATTAATTTACTTGAGGTGTTTTGTCAATATTTAATCCTATTGTGTTTCTCCTCTTACCGATTTTGTCATCTGAATAACTTAGGATTTTAGCTTCCATTTCTACATCTTGGTTTTAATTGTTTCTTCCTTTACAGCGTAACACCCACATACTGTAACGGTGTTTCCTCAATATCTCATATTTTGTAAATGTTTTGTAAAAATCCACAATTCCAAGCAGAACTGAGTACAGCAAACAGTATTTAGTCACAAATATGAAACATATAAAACGGTCCTTGTTGTTTTGATCCAGGAGCCCCACAGTGTCCAAAAGGAGTCTGTCGTATCCACACACAGTAGTAGTAGTAGTAGTAGTAATAGTAGTAGTACTTTGGTCCATGTGGTATGCTGTGGTATGCTGTCCTCAAAGTGCCCCTAGAGAGTCCTGCGATTCTTGTTCATTGGCCAGTATTGTCCTGCCATTGTCACTGTAGCTCCGGTTTGGTAAGAAAGACAGTCTGCAACAGAAGAAAATTACGGTTAATAATGTTTCTTTACAAATAATTATAGTGCTAGAAAAATGTTACATCAGTGTTTGCGCTCCTGTTTTCTCCATCTCTACACAAGCGAACAAAGAAACTATCTATTTTCCTGCTTTACAACTATAATTGTTACATGCATGTGTTTGAAGAGCTCCACTCGTCACACACATGCAGAGGGAGCTGTGTGTGCAGACATGTCACGGGTCAAACATAGTGTTCTATAAGTGTTTTCTGTTCAGGGAGAGTGTTTACTGTACAAACATAACCGGAGTCCCTGTCCATCCTCGTCCTTCGGCTCAAGACAGACGGGATAATGTGGAGTCAACTATAGAAATGTAGAAATAATAGAGTAAAACAGAGAATTAGAAAAAAATCTGTATTTGTCCACAATGTTAGTTAGTGAGAAATGTCACCTGAGTTTCTCCTACGGAAGATCAATAAAGTCTCTATCTATCTGTATTGGTGTTATATAGTATTTCTCTATAGAACTCTATTATGAGAGATGGTGCTTCAAAGCCAGAGTAGAATAAAATCAGTTCTGGCAGCTTTGATTTGAAGAATTCCATAACCAGAAATGTCCAGATTTAAAACAACCGTTTGAATTTTTTTTAGAGGTGTAAAACTCATCTGATTCTATGGCTATAGAAAGTTCAAACTTGGGAGCAGTCTCTATGGTGCAAGATCTGTTGTTTGTCTTTCTGCGGAAGACGGAAGGAACAACATTTGCATTGAAACAAGGAGGAGAAAGCTCACCCCCAGGACAAAAACGAGTTTGTGGAGATTTCATTTTCTGTATATTTTTGTACAGCCCAAAATCACAACTACAGTCGTCTCGAAGGGGTTCACTGTTGATCTGCCAAAAGCAATTTAGAGAATCAAACAGTTAGAACCCATATGAGCCATCGGTCCATAGGATAACAGCTTAACTAATGTCCACATGTTTCAATATTTCCAACATCCTCCCCTGTTCCGAGATCCCCCTGCATCTGCAAGCAATAACTCAAAACCCCAGAGAGAGAAAAAAAAGACACCTCAAGAGACGCACAGTGATCCACTCCCATATATACTGTATATACATACACACATATATAAATTCTTCGTTTAATAGCAAATGAACTGCTTCTATGCATTGTCGCAGTTCAGGTTGGTGTGGTTCATTTGAGCCAAAATGTCTCCATGCAGGAAATCTCTGAAACATCTGTGTATAAAAACTGGGTATGCGTGCCAATGCAAAATGAGAATGTTCAAAGTGACTGCATTTTGAAGATCATAAACTTGAATGAATCACTCAATACAAGTAATTGAATGGAAAACCAGTTAGAGTTATTTTGTTTGGAAGTTCAATAGTTGGTGTTGGTGTATTTAACCAATCATTTTTATATGTGTGAGATAAACAACAACAAAATCCTGTATTTCATATGGGTTCTTTTATGTCTCCTTTAACATCTTCCTCATCACTAACATATATAAATTTAAGAGTAAAAAACACCCAATAATCAGCAATAAATTGAGGTTACATTTCAAAGCACTTTACTGCACATCTTGAGCTCATAAATCACACCCTAACGATGAACCAAACCACTAATTTCTCCCTAAACATTGGTCCACTTGAGAATTCCCAGGCAGCCGTCATCACTAAGTGCTTTGCTTTGGCACAACTCTTAATTGAATTTCCACACACTTATCCTTAAATAGACGTTCTTATTGATCCAAACCACATCTCACTTATCTCTTTATCTCAAAATCCACAACAAGTTTGACAGATTAGAGCTTGACAAAAACCTCAACAACTGTTTAGACTTCTTATCACCTCAAATATTCATTCAGATCCAGTTACCGGGCAGTTTCTTGACGTACATATATGGTAATGTTCCTGAGCCTCTTTGTTATCGCTAAATCAGGTTTTGACAGTTCGTATCAGATAACTAATAATACCTGTGCGTGTACATGTGGTCGTAATACTTGTCAGAAATGGATTGGAGAAACAAAAAGGCTGCAAGTGTGTCTGCAGTTTGGCAAGGTGCCTCCGTGGCTCTAAAAGTTATTTCCGAACATTCCCAGAGTTTTAAACAGGGTTAAAGCTGAGGGGGAGATGGATCTTTCCCACAAGAAAGAAGGAAAAAAAAAAAAGATAGCATTAACTAAACTGAAATGGTAAGGCTTTGTGCGCGTTATAGGTAACCCTAGCAATGATATTACATTATATATTATATGTATATTAGAAAACAATCTCTCTGGACCAGGAATCGTTCTTTTATTTGTGTTCTCCAATCAGCAACAGAAATAGCGCACAGTAATGCCTGCCTGAAAAACACAACTCCAATTTCACGGTGCTCTGTCCCGCCTGATAACTGCCTACAGGCCAGAAGATATTTAGAAAAGGAGGAATATGAAGGCCAGAGATCTGCAATTAAAGCTAGGGTACCTAACTTTTCCCACACTTGTATATAGTACATGTTGTTTGTCCCATCAGGAATCAGACCACCACATGCTGTTTTGATCTTATAGAAAC